CACCACTGCCTCCTGATCTCTACTGGGCTGTGCGTGAGGTTCACTGCCTGGGAATGGAACCCAGGTCTCCCACATGGAAGGTGAGAATCCTCCCCCTGACCCACCACTGCCTCCTGTTCTCTGCTGGACGAGAGGACACTCAGGAGGTGTTCCGTGAAGGTGGTCTGAACGGGAACGGTGCCCGGGAGCTGCTCCCAAGCTGGGTTTCTGGCCACACGAGTCTGTGACCTGCTAGATAACCTGCTACACCTTCAGATAGTCACACGTTGTTGTTAGGTGCCGTCAGGTCGATTCTGACTCAGAGACTCCCAGTGACAAAGTAGAACCGCCCCACAGGGTTTCCTAGGCTGTCATCTTTACGGGAGCAGACCACCAGGTCTTTTCTCCCTTGGAGCGGCTGGTGGGTTTGAACTGCCAACCTGTCAGCTAGCAGCCCCCTTGTCTCTGATAGGTAGCACTCATTAAGGGCTTACAGGTGCCCACACAACCTCATTCATCATGAGAAGTGGTCACCCAGGTCACCACGGCCTCACAGATGGGGAAACTGAGGTGCATACATGCCCAGCAGGTGAGTGGAGAGGCTTATTCTCAGTACGGCACAATAGCACCCACCGGAGTGCACACGGGGGAGGGCGGGTCGGGGTGGCACTGAGGTTTATGGGTTCCACGCTCCGTGTGGGGAGGTGCTATGGGGCACAGCTAAGTGAGTGGGCTTGCACTCTGTCTTGGACTGAATCGTGTCCCCCAGAAAGTTACATGGAAGTCCTGGCCCCCACCCTTGTGAACGTGACCTTGTTTGGAGACAGGAATTTTCTTCTGTTGTGTTCATGCGGCATCTCAGAGTAGGCTGGGCCCTAAACCTCATCCCTCCTGAGCTCTGAAACAAGGAGACTAGACGCACAGGAGGGAGAAAGATGCCTAGAAAATCCCGCGGCTGCCATCAAGGAAGAGAGCCCTAAAGCTGACCCCTGATTCGGACCCCAGCCTCCAAAACATGAGACAATAAACTGCTGTGCTTGAAAGTCTTCCGCTTGCGGTGTTTCTCTCACAGTAACACCAGGAGGCACGCGACAGCTGGACAGTGAATTAGGAAGACAGAAGAAGGACCGGTGCCTTGGAACTGTGGGGTCGGCAAAGAAGATTGAATCTACCCTGGACCGCCAAAAGAACCAACAAATCTGTCTTGGAAGAAGGACAACCAGGGTGCTCCTTAGAAGCCAGGATGAGACTACGTCCCACATACTTTGGACATGTTACCAGGAGGGATCTGTCCCTGGGGAAGGACATCATGCTTGGTAAAGTAGAGGGTCAGCGAAAGAGAGGAAGACCCTCAATGAGATGGACTGACACAGTGTCTGCAACAATGGGCTCAAGCATCGCAACGATTGTGAGGATGGTGTGGGACTGGGCAGCGTTTCGTTCCGCTGTGCACGGGGTCGCTGTGAGCGGGAACCGACTCGACGGCACCTAACTACAGGAGGCTAAGACGGACTCCATGCCATGTCCTGGCTGGCTGTGTGACCCTGGACAAGTCCCTTAACCCCTCTGAGCCCCAGCTTCCCCATCTGAGGAATGGGGCACGTAACAGTGGCTCCCTCACGGGGCTGCCGTAAGCACTGAACAAGAGAGGCTGTGGCCAGGCCCTGGCACGTGGCAAGCCCTGGCTGAAGAGTGGCCGAGGTCGGAGATGCGCACCCACCACTCCAGGGTGCCTCCTCCTGCATTGCCGAAGACACTCTGGGATCACCCAGCTGTGGACAGAAGGTGAGGTTTCTATCGGGAGCCAGAGAGGGTGCTGCCCTCTTTCCCTTGAAGCTCTGACCTCTACTTGGTCACAGGGACACCACCTGCCCAAGGTGGGACCTTGTCGGGCCAGGAAAGCTGGGCTGCAGGGGCTGACCAGGTGCCCCTCTGACCAAGGCCAAGACCCCCCACAGCTCTCGGACGGGCCATCTCTCAGGGAGGAGGACAGGACAGCACTTGGGCCCAACTAATCTCGGGTCCTTGTGACACCCCAAAAACAGGGTCCCTGCAGCCAACCCAGGAGTGCAAGGACTTGTCTCCATGTGTCTGTGTGTGCATGTGCACCTATGGGGACGTGTGTGTGCGTGTGCGTCTGTGTCTGTGTGTGCATGTGCGCCTATGGGGACGTGTGTGTGCGTGGGAGTGTGGGCATGTATGTGAGTGTCAGGGCCTGTGTTTTTTGTGTAGGTGTCTGTGTGCGTGCATGTGTGTGTGTGGTGTATGCATGTGCCTGCGTGTGTGTGTGCATCTGTATCTGTGTGTGCACATGTGCACTGTGTGTGCATGTATGTGAGCCTGTGTGCGTGTGTGAGTGCATGTGTGAATGTGTATGGGCGTGTGTGTGCGTGTGTGCACACACGTGTCAGTGCATGTGGCGCACGTGTCTACGTGCGTGCATGTGAGTGTGTGTGGTGTGCGTGCGTGGGTGTGAGTGGGTGTGTGTGCGTGCGAGTGTGTGTGTGCGTGCATGTGTGTGAGTGTGTGTGCGTGTGTGTATGTGAGTGGGTGTGTGCGTGCGTGTGTGTGGGTGTGTGTGTGCCTGTGTGTATGTGAGTGCGTGTGTGTATGAGTGGGTGTGTGTGTGCGTACATGTATGTGAGTGTGCGTGTGTATGTGAGTGGGTGTGTGTGCGTGCGTGTGTGTATTGAGTGGGTTGTGCGTGCGTATGTGAGTGGGTGTGTGTGTGCGTGTGTGTATGTGAGTGGGTATGTGCGTGCGTATGAGTGGGTGTGTGTGTGCGTGTGTGTATGTGAGTGCGTGTGCATGTATGTGAGTGGGTGTGTGTGTATGAGAGTGGGTGTGTGTGCATGCGTGAGTGGGTGTGTGTGTGCGTACATGTATGTGAGTGTGCATGTGTATGTGAGTGGGTGTGCGTGCGTGCGTGTGTGTATTGAGTGGGTGTGTGCGTGCGTATGTGAGTGGGTGTGTGCGTGCGTGTGTGTGTGAGTGGGTGTGTGCGTGCGTGTGTATGAGTGGGTGTGTGTGTGCGTGTGTATGTGAGTGCGTGTATGTATGAGTGGGTGTGTGTGTATGAGAGTGGGTGTGTGTGCGTGCGTGAGTGGGTGTGTGTGCGTGCATGTGAGTGTGCGTGCGTATGTGAGTGGGTGTGTGCGTGCATGCGTGTCTGAGTGGGTGTCTGCGTGCGTGCATGTGAGTGGGTGTGTGCGCGTGTGTGTGCATGTGAGTGTGTGTGGTGTGTGTGCACGCATGCGTGTTCATGTTCAACTCCATGACAGGACTCTAACCGACCACTGACAGCAATGGCTCAGCCCCTCGGGCCACCAAGAACCCTCACGCCGGCACAGTCGAGCGGCCGAGCGCCTCTCAGCCCGCTCCACGCACAGACCAACTGCCTTCTCGGTTCACGAGCTCTCTCCCCACGGGTGCTGTTTGGGGACTTTTGGCCCCAGTCCCCGACTGTGAAAACTGAAACGCACTCCACCTGCCAGCAAATGAGCTGTCCCCCTCAGGGTCATGCCAGGGCTCCCCTAGAGCCCCCCACTGCCTTCTGATGAAGCCATGCCCCCTCCCTACCTCCAGCTCTCACCCCGTCCTGACTCCACGTTTGGGGGACTTCGGGCCCTGCGTGGCCTCATGGCGAAGGTGAAGCATGTGGCTGAGTCCTCACACCCATGACCCCTGGGAGGAGCCAGCCCTCTCGTTTCCCTTCAGCCGCTGCCTCTGCTGACCTCTTTTCAAGCCCCACAGAGGCGCGGGTGCCATGGCGGAAGACCCCATGGGCAGGCAGGGCTGGTCGGGGGCCAGGCTGGGGACATTTTACTGTCAGAAGACGGGGCACTGACACCCGTTTTCTTTTAAATCAACTAAAAAGGGAACTGGGGTGTCTCTGCAAAGTGCACTGGGAGCCAGGAGGGGTGGGAGGACACAGGCCGGGCCCCCGAGCACCCAGGCCCCAGCGCAGCTCCCCCCGGTCAGTGCCGGTCCCCGCCTGCTGGAGGCTGAGAAAGGCAGAGCCCTCCCACCTCCTGATCGGCGGGGCGCACGCTGTGGGGTGAGCCCACCTCACTTACTTGCTTATGTGCTTCGTGTCTCCCCCACCACCTGGACAGGGAAGGGGGCCATGTGATGTTGGGGTAACCCCACCCCATTGACTTGCTGATGTACTCTATGTGCCCCTCACCATGGCCTGGACAAGAAGGGGGGCAGACAATGTTGAGGTGATCACACTCTACTCACTCACTGATGCACTCTGTGTCCCTCCCACTGCCTGGACAAGGAGGGAGGTCATGCATTGTTGGGGTGACCTCACCTCACTTACTTGCTGATGTACTCCATGTCCCCCCATCACGGCCTGAACAAGAAGGGGGGCACAAAATGTTGGGGTGGCTATACCCCACTTACTTGCTGAGGTGGTGTCCCCCCCACCGCCTGGACAGGGAAGGGGGCTGTGCAATGTTGGGGTGACACCACCCCATTTACTTGCTAATGTACTCCGTGTCCCCCCCCCACCATGGCCTGGACAAGAGGGGGCCGTGCAATGTTGGGGTGGTCCCGCCCCACTTACTTGCTGATGTACTCGGCGTTCAGGAGCTTCCCACAGGCTTTGCATGTGAAACAGCCCAAATGCCAGTGTTTGTCCAGAGCCACCAGGGACTGGCCGTTCCTGATCTCTGAGCCGCAGCCCCCGCAGCCTGGAAGAGAGGTCTCCCTCAGTGCCGGGCGAGGGCCCACTGCGTGCAGCTGCAGGAAAGGGCATGGAGCAGACCCAGCACCAGGTGCCCTGGGGGCGAGGCCTTCGTGGGCGGGAGACAGGGGACGGGGCACCTGCCCCTGCCTTCCAGACTCCCTGAAAGCACCCACAAGAGCCCTGGGGAGAGGGACCGCGGGGCTGGAAGTACCCCGGTAGAGGAGAGAAGACAGGCTCCGTTTGTCCTGCTCGCACGCACTCGGCCGGCCAGCACTCACTGAGCACCTACTGCATGCCAGTTGGGGCTCAGAGCTGGGGATGCAAGATGGCAGGGCAGAAGCCCCGTCCCGGAGGAAGACGGGACTGGACAATTACAAGAGTGCCAGGAGCTGGAGGGGGTCTCAGGAGGGGTCCTTGTGGGCCCCCCACCCTCCTCTGTTGGAAGGTAGAACTTTGAACCTAACCGTGCCCCGGCGTGCCCACCAGAGGGTCGTGTGCCCCATGAGAGAGGGCTGAGACCCCTCTGCTCCCGTCTGCCCGGAATGCCCCTATAGGAAGTCCTCCTGCCTGCTCGGCTGGGCTGTCTGCAGCTGTCCAAGCTGCACCCACACACAAGACACTGGACACATGGCCCAGTCCCTGCCGGCATGTCTGCCAGGCCTGGGGGCCAGCCGGGGGTTCCTCCCTCCACAACCCAGCCAGCCCACCCCGCACTCTCTCCCCTAGCTCTCCCTGAAGTGACCCGAAGCTCTGCTCTCCATCTAGCCTGGTCTGGGCTCTGCATGGCCTCTGGGCCCACCTCGAGGCCCACCTCAGCCCCATGAGCAGATGGGGGCAGTGTTCAGGCTGGTGAAGCACCAGGCCTGCAGAAGTCCCCGAGTGACTAGGGGCTCCGGCCAAGGCTCCCAGCCAGCGGGGGCCAGGTGAGTCTCTGTCCAGGATGGGAAGAAGGAGGTGGGCTCTGGGGCCACATCTCCCGCGGCAGATGGGAGGCCCTCAAGAGCTGCCTGTCGGCCCTGCAAACGGGACTCAGCAAACACTGCTCACACTCCTGGCTTCAGTCTCCTCTTTAGCGGACACCAGAGTCAGTTTTATTATTTTTTTAAGAAAAACAAATTTAACACCCACAGAAGTGTTGGTCAAGCTGTGGGTTTCCTAAATTCTCACACAGCTCAAATTCACAGGCCACTCTGAAAAACAATCAAGAGCAAATGCAGACTCAGAAGCTCAAGGGCTATGAAGAAAGAGGGAGCTTTCACTCAGCAGGGACCCTCAATGATGTCCAGCCCAGGTACAGGGGCTTCCACAATGCTGGGAAGGAGGGAGGAAGGGAGGGAGGTGGGAAACCTAGGGAGGGAGGGAGGGAGGGGAAGGAACCCAGCGAAGGAAAAGCAGAAGGAAGGAAAGAGGGAAAAAAGAGAGGCAGAGAG